CTGAACACGAGGAGGAACTTCTTCCCTCTGAGGGTGATGGAGCCCTGACCCAGGCTGCCCAGGGAGGTTGTGGAGTCTCCTTCTCTGGAGATATTCCAGACCCACCTGGACGCGGTGCTGTGCAGCCTGCTCTGGGTGACCTTGCTTGGGCAGGGGGGGTGGACCAGATGACCCACAGAGGGCCCTTCCAACCCCGACCACTCTGTGATACACACTGCTGTTCTCTCCCAGATTCACTAACGGAGTGCACAAAGTATCCTCATCCTAATGGTTATTCTCAGTTTTCTCCTACTACTACAAGACCAAATTGCCTCTCCAAGTTTGCTATGCGTGTACTGCTTTACCTTAATCCCTTATTCCCCGCACTAGTAATCAGCAGCTTTGGGTGCTCTCTATCAGACAAAAGAAAGAAAGGAGAAAGTGCATAGAACTGAAGGCTCAGACACACAACTGAGTTGCAATGCATGAGCACAACCACAGAAAATGGCACAGATGTACTCTCAGCTCAAAGAAACTGTAACATAAGAACTGGAGCTATTTGTCAAACACATACAATTTAATAAATAAACTAAATATTCCACAGCTCAGCCAGAAAAAAAATCAAGTAAAAAGATTTTTAATTCAAATGGAATGGTTTATCAGTCAGATCTAATAGGTCTAGGTAGCATATCTGGGAGGTGGAGGGGAGGATAACAAATTCAAGAAGACTTCTACTTCATCTATAGATCACAGACCTTATCTAGGACCGCTCTGTACTGCAATTTTATGGTCCCAGGTTTAAAATCTAACCACCCAAAGGAAAACAGATCAAGTTTCCCTCACTCAGTCTTTTGTCAACATCCGCTCAATGATGGAAAAAATCTCATTGTAACAGGGGCCTGAAGTATTTTTTCCAGTCTCAAATTTTATTTTTAGAACCTCAATTTGTTTTGTACAGAATCTTCACACACTAGTTATTTGCTAACTAATCATAACAGGTCATTTTTATACTTCTTCCACATTGTGAATTCCAGCTATTCACAGAGAAGAGAAGAAAAACCCAGCAGGTGTCATTTTTCTAGACACATTTTACAAGGAATAAGAGAAAATGACCAAGACATCTGAGCCTGAAACTCTGTAGGAGCAAAGTGCATAGACTAGACAGCAAACTCAGAAGTCAGTCCAAGTACAGATTTATAAGCTTTCCATATTTTCCTTTCTTTTCTTCCAAGTTGAGTTTCTCCACGTGCCAAACTATTGTGCGTTTACATTTTATTCCAAAACCCATCAATCTGTGCTAAATTAAAAAAAAAAAAAGCATGGAAATGTGCCCATTGTCTTCCTTTAAGAACCTAAAGCCGCACACAAACGCACATGAGAACAGTTAATGTGGATATGCAATGGTTCATTCCGATCTACTCGCACAGATTCAACCACTTAAAATTAAAATGATGTTGAAGTAACATAGTGCTGCCAGAGAAAGGTCTGCCAATAACAGACCGGATCGGTAGTGACACTGCACGCATTTGGTGCGTTACGCTGGGGCACATGGGCACCCTCAAATCAGCTTCTCCTGGAAAATGCAGTTGTCCTCGGGAAAAAATTTAAAGCGCAACATTGACAACACTTGTTCCTGTATCATTCCTGTCAGGGTGCTCCACGCCAAAAAGCCAAGCCAGCATGACACTCCCATGATGTCTACTCCAGTGTCTCACTGAGGACCTTCCCACATTAACACACTCCTTACTCTTCTAATTTGCACTGAGCAAGGAATGAAGAAGGGTTTGCAAAAAGCACATTGGGACTCCACTCTTTCACTGTACAGCGGGAGTGAATTTATCCACGTCGGGATCACTCTATCAGGTCTCAGAGGAACCACAGACATTTTCTAGACTGACAGCACAAACCCCTACCAACGCAGAGTGTCGCTGACTCACAGCGAACTTGCACAGCCCCCAGGGCTCCCCAAGTGTGAGAGACCAGGCACGTGCAAAGACAGCGATAATCAGCGACTTGAGCCCGTTTGCCCAGGCTGAATGGCACAGGGCCAGGACCCTCATGCACACCCATGTCTCCAAAACTAGAAAAGTTGGTGGTTTTGGTCATTCCTAGCATCATCACGTCATATTTCTGGAAATCTTTTATCACACTACATAGCCTATTATTTCATAATGCCTTTAAATCTATTGGCAGATACTGAGAGGCAAGCAGAACTAGATAACTACATTTCTATTAAAATTAAGACAGGAAGGACCCTCATGCACACCCATGTCTCCAAAACTAGAAAAGTTGGTGGTTTTGGTCATTCCTAGCATCATCACGTCATATTTCTGGAAATCTTTTATCACACTACATAGCCTATTATTTCATAATGCCTTTAAATCTATTGGCAGATACTGAGAGGCAAGCAGAACTAGATAACTACATTTCTATTAAAATTAAGACAGGAAAAGAGGAAAAAAAAGATCTGGAAAAGAAAAAAAAGATCTTCTGCTGGCTGAAGCTCTGGGCTGGGACTCAGCAGCGGGTTTTATTTCTGACTCTTCACCACACCCGATTCCCTCCCCAAAAAGTGAGAATAACGATGGGTCTTCCCTGTTCTCCAAAACTGGTCTATTTAGAGGGTTTTATTAGCATATTTTATTTTATGAATAAACCAAAATAGATGCAAAAACATCAACAGGAAACTGCTGCAATACTAAGCACTTCTTTCAGGGCATGGAGAGATTTTCAGGTGACTTGAAATCCAGTGGAAGTACTTTTGCACCAGGGAAATATTCAGCACTATTTTGTGGCAGCGAATGTGCAAACTGAATATTCAGCTGTGTCCAGGGAAAGCAGGTCTCTACTATGCTTCCTTCTGCCATTCAAAGTTAAAGGGTAAAGCAGACCTAAATACACAGGCTTAGGAGTAGGACAGATCTAGAGGCATAGTGCTATAGTGACTACACTAGTCAACAAC